ATATCAAGGGGCAGGTAACGGCAAAATCTAGAACAGGGCCACCAACGCCATGACAGAGAACGGCCAGGGTGGTCCCACGTCGGCCAAGAGCATCAAGCACAGAAATCTACTCTCCTTCACTTCGTCTACATCTCAGCTTAGAGAGTGGGGAACTCCTGATGGAGTATATGGGTCTAGGCCCCAGGACCCACATACTCAGAAGAACAGAAAGCACAAGCCACCAATCGGTGCCCTCGTCGGCCAAAGGACCCCCGTCGGCCGAAGAGGGACCAACTCAGACTATGATCCTGAAGCCAGGGAACTTGGGTGCCCCCGTCGGCCGTGCCCTCATCGGCCGTACCATCGTCGGCCAGACCCTCGTCAGCCACGGAAGCCTCCCAGAACTAGACTTCACACTTAATCATTTCTACACACATTGTAATCGCCCCAATAGCGGTCCAGTTGTAAATCGGCCTCCCAAGCCCAAGGCTTGGGAGCCCAGCCCGTATTTTCCCTATAAATACTTTCTCTGGAGGTAGTTGTAGGGGTTCAAAAAAATCATTTATTGAAGCATTTACTTGCACTTCTCTCTCTAGCTCTCACTTCTCTCTAGATATATACTCTATCAATATATATATATATATAGAGAGATAGAGAGAGAGAGAGTGTTCCTATACATAACTCGTGAAGAGAAGCCCCATGCTGACAAGATCATCAGAGTGCCATCCCGGTGGAATTTGTTGATGAATTATTTTTTGATCATGTTCCTCATCAAGTCTTGTTTATCCATACCAAATTTAAGCTCAAAATTCGACCCGGAAGACATTTAAATAAATTCTAGAAACATATTGCGCATTTTGTACATATAAAAAGTGCAGAATGTTTCAAGACTTTCTTTAACTGTCTTCCCGATTGAATTTTGAGCTAAAATTTTGTATGCATAAACTAGACTTGATGAGGAACATGTTCAAAAAATTCCACCGAGAATGCCCTATGATGGTCTTCTCCGCACGGGGCTTCTCTTCAGGAGTTATGTATAGGAACGTGACCCCCCCCCCCCCCCCCTCTCTCTCTACACACACACCTATATATACATATACCTATACATATACAGAGGTTTTGGTTCAAATAAGAACATGATCTTAGGAGACAAATGAGAATGAATCTGGATCGTTAGATTTGCTTTAAGTGAAATTCAATGTGCATTAGATGAAACTGTAATGTGCATTATGTGAAATTGAAATGTGCGGCACAAAAGGTACGATACGGTGGCAATATGTGAAGTTGAATTGTGTATTAGATGAAATTGAAATGTGTATTAGGTAAAACTGGAATAAGAAGAATAAAAGGTACGATGTGATGTTATTTTTGTACCTTTTATTTTGCACATTTCAGTTTCACCTAATGCATACTTGAGTTTAAATTTTTATTCTGCACAATTCAATATAATCGAATGTACAATTTAGTTCCACATAATACAATCCAACGGTCCATATTCATTCTCATTTCTCTCTTGAGAGCCCATTCTTACCGGAACCGCTCCCTATATACATATACCTATATATATACATATACCTATATAGAGAAATTCTCAGTTCCAACAGCTTCTCGTCCGAACGCCGTCTGAACACTGCCATTTGGGGCACTTCCCGGTGGAATTTTTTGATGAAATGTTTTGAGCATGTTCTTCATCAAGTCTAGTTTATCCATACCAAATTTCAGCTCAAAATTCGATCGGAAAGACAGTCAAAAATTCGTTGAAGTTAACTGCGCCAAATTATACATAGAAAAACGCAGTTTAGTTGTTAACTTAAACGAATTATTTGACTGTTATCCGGATCTAACTTTGAGCTGAAATTTGGTATGAATAAACTAGACTTGATGAGGAGCATGCTCAAAAAAAATTTTCGAAAAACTCCACCGGGAACCGCCCCAAACGGCGGTGTTCAGACGGAAAAGTGTTGGACAAGAAAACTCCTCTACCTATATATACATATACCTGTGTGTGTGTGTGTGTGTGTTTGTGTGTGTGTTTGTGTGTGTGTGTGTAGGAAAATGTTCATGTAAGGTAGGACTAAAAGTTGCAATTTTAGGTCTCTTTCATTTGAGCTACTTCGGGTTGATTTTTTTGATGAAATTTGGTGAGCATGTTCTACATGGAATGTAGATTATGTCCACCAAATTTTAGATTAAAATTCAATCGGAAAGTTAGTTAAATAAAATTATGAAAATTACACAATTTTTTAGGCCCAAAATGCAGTTTTTTCTATAAATTATTAAAATAACTTCCCGATTAAAATTTAATATGAAATTTGGTGGACATAACCTATACTTCAAGGAGAAATGGTCACAAAATTTCATCAAAGAATTTGACCCGAAAGCACCTCAAAGGAAAGAGGCCTAAGAATTATAACTTTTAGGCTTACCTTACATGAACATTACCATATATATATATATATATATATATATATATATATATATATATATATATATATATATATATATAAGGTGCGGTTCTTATGAGAATGATGTTTAACGTGAGAATGTGCGAACACTCACAATTAACCTAATGTGATACGCAATAGAGCCCCTCTAGTTCACATTTTGACTTTGCACAAACAAGCCAATATAAATAACCACGGTGGCATTTTGGTAAATATTAGGCGAGCCCCATTGTGTATTACATTGGGGTAAGTGTGGTGTTATCACGTTCTCACGTTAAACATTGTTCTCGTTTGTTCTTTAATATATATATATATATATATATATATATATATATATATATATATATATATATATATATATATATATATATATATATATATATATATATATATATATATATATATATATATATATATATGGGAGGGTTCAGGTGAGAAAGACCTCTTAGGAGAGAAAAACGAACGAAATCCTCCCATTGATTAAACTGATTGTGCGGCTTATATGAAGCCTTGGGATTTTAAAAAAAATCACGCTGCACCTCACGTGATAGGACCGAGAAATGAAAAGAGTGCAACGAATTAATGATGAAAGGCATTTAAGTCAAAGCACATAGGGTGGCGGTTTGGCAGGTTTAGTAAATGGAAGAAAACCCCAGTAATCGTGCGAGCCAAATTCGAACTTTTTGCTTCCACCTTGCGCAGACATCTCTTTGCAACAGAACTCCTCGGCGAGAATTCTACTACTAAATCTTAAGAGACAGTGCAAAAGTTCCCAAACCCCTAGAGATGAGTGCACCAAAAACGAAGAAGGGAGACTTGAAAATGCATTTGTATGGCAAATCAGTGCACATATAACAAATGTGATAAAGTGTAGTTTTAATTGGTTGATGTGCATGTTGTTAGGTAATAAAGGGATTTGACATCCACATCAGAGGTAGGAGGGAAAACATATTCTGAGTATCTGTAAGATTGTACTAGAATAAAGTTAAGGTTGATATATGTAGTGTGTTGTTTTGGTACAGAGTGCACTATGTATATGAAGTAAATGAACTTAAAGAAGATGTATGCAAAGGGAAAAAACTTATGATTAAAGTGTAGTTTTAATTGTTTGCAACGCATATACTTAGAAAATAAAGTGATTTGGGAAATACATAATCCAATAGTGAAGTATGTAGTCCTTACTGGTTCATGGTGTGCAAGATTATAGCAATTTTGTTACTGTGTAGTTTTAAATGTTATAGTGCATCTCGTTATGAAATAAAGTGCATGGAATTCCACATTTCAGGTTTAAGTGAAACAAGACTGCAGCTTGTGAGGAATGATAAAGGGAATAGAGCAACACCACCAACGATAAATGAAAACCACCAAGGTAGAGTGAAGAGACAGAAAAAACAAATACAAGGGCAAGAGAGTGATGATGATTTCGAGATACAACCATGCCAAGGTGGTGGTGGAAATGAGGCAGTGCAAAACACGGGGAAGAAAAAAATCAAGGAAAGCATTAAAGATGTAAAGTCAAGGTATTTGACAATACGTATACGGTGTTCACCTAATTTGCTAGTTAAAGCGATGGCTGGGATGACTAATGCTCAAAAACAGGATGTAAGAAAGATTGGTTTTGGTTCATTGTTTGAAATGGACATTTCTAAAATTCCAGGAAGGATGGGATTTTGGGTGGTGGATAACTTCAACGCCAAAAAATGCTCATTGGTGCTACATGATCGAAAAGAGTTGCATATAACAAAGGTAGATGTTGCTCGAGTATTAGGTTTCCCGTTAGGAGGACAAAAAATTGTGGCAAAGAAGAGAAATGAGGACAATGCATTACTTTGTGAATGGAAAGAAATGTTTTCAAAGGAGAAGTCAAAAATTAGCCCGTCAGATGTTAGTGCAGCAATGCTTAACATGAAAGAAGGAGGGGATTGGTTCAAAAGGAACTTCATTGTTCTTGTGGTATCACTCCTGCTTGAAAGCACGCAAAATGGGTATGTTAATCCAATGCTTATGAATCATTTGGAAGATGTTGACAAGATAAAAGATTTCGATTGGTGTGACCATGTGCTCAATTGTTTAATTGAGAGTAAAGTTTAATGGGAGAAGAAAAAGAACAAAGCTTTTACTGGCCCTTTGCTGTTTTAATGGTAAGTTCAAATGTAATGTGCTTATTTTAATTATAATTATATTATTTTCAAAGAATCTAAAGTGTAATAACAATTATCGGTGCTTCAGTTGTTCTATGTTGACAAAGTGGTGGTGTACAGAAGAAAGCTGGGGAGGAGTTTACCTGTTATGAAAATGTGGAATGAGAAACTTCTTCGGGAGAGAGAATTGATGGAAATAGAAAGTGGGGGTTTCGGAATGGGTCGCTGCGAAGGACCAATGATTTCTGAAGAGTGTATGCAGAAGGATAAACCACATGGGGAAGGTGGAAGTGCAGAGAGAGTTGAGGTGCAATCTACTAATGGTGATAATCCTGAGGTAAGGTGTAATAATAATGTGAATCATTATTTCTAAATTATGCACCTGTTTGTGATAATTTGAGCACCTAAATTAATTCTACATTGCATTAATAATACCAGGAATTTGTGAAGAGATTTGCTCAAAAAACAGATCTCTTGGCTAGAACTGTGATTGATGTTCTCAACATGTTTGAACAAGCACCAAGAAACTTAATTCAAACAGAGAAGTTCATGAAGATGCAAGAAGCTGCGCAACAGTTGATTGGAGTAGGGAAGAAGAAGAGAGTGGTGGATGCTACACGAGAAACGGATGCTAGAAGTACTCGAGAGACAGAAGATGTCGCGTTCTGGGCTGAGACAATAAGTGCAACTGAGAGGTTGGAAAATGCAAATGCGAAGAAGTCCTTGTACGAGAAAGGAATTGAAGAGATGCCAACCTTTTCGATTGGGCTAACACAAGAAATAGAAAGACCATTTGCAACCGTATCAGAACGATGTGCTGAAATAGAAAAAGTAGTGAATGAAGATGCGCAAGTTGAAGAACAAGATGAAGAGCACGTTGTTGTTGGGAATGTGACAGAAAACGAGAAGGATGTAGAAGTTGTTGCTGAGGTAATTATCGTGTAAACAAATGTTATCATATTATTATTATATTATTATTATAAAACTAATGAGTTTTATTGAAAAATGATTGAAGTTGCAGAAGCAAGAGGTCAAAAGGAAGGGTGCAAACCATGATTTGGTTTTAGGTGAGAAAATGACTTATTTGAGGCCAAGAAGGGCAGAGAAGGCTGCAAAAGTATTAAAATCTTCGTACATGGAAAGAGTTCTAGACACTAATGACACATCAAACTCAAATGAGAAAGTGATATGGAAATGGGTGATGCAAGATGCTCCTGATAAGAGGTTTAAAAGAATAAAATATTTAAATTCTTGAATTGTTGTTAATGTTGTAAATTTATAAAAATAATAATAAACTGTGTTGTTTAAATTTAGGGATGAGATTGTTTTCAAGTACAAGCAATCTCAATTAAGCGAGGAGAGATGTTTAGCCTCGGGGAGAAAACCCACTTGTGCATGAACGTGTTAGACGCCTGGACAATGTGCTTGAATACTAAAGAGAAACCACGCTGTAACACGTCACCGTGCAGATTATTTGCGAAATCTATTCCTTGTGTAAGATTCATAGTTCACAAATATCATTTATTTAATATTCATGTGCGCTATAGAGTTAGTTCAGTGCACATTAGACGTCGAATTTGTGCATTTGTTTGCAGTTGTACACCATGGAGAACCCAATCCTTGAAGACCAAGCATATGAAGTGTTTAAGGAAGGAATGGTCCTGGCATTGGAAACGGTGAAACCGGATGTTAAAATGGAAGATATTGATTTGGTAAATTTAATCTATATATATATATATATATGTGTGTGTGTGTGTGTGTGTGTGTGTGTGCATCATAGTTAAGCGTTTGTGTAAACATATACGTATTTAAATGAATTATATTATTTGTGCAGTTCTTTTTCCCAATTGTGCAACCGAAGCATTGTTATGTTGTGTGTTTCCACATGAAGAAACAAATTGTTGAAGTTTTGGACAACATAGTTGATCAAATGCACTTTGATGAAAAATATGGTGAGATGCCATATATACTGGTGAGTGTCTACATAATACACATCAACATTGTAATATGTACAAATTGTTTGACTTACACATTTTAATTGTTTGTCTTGCAAATTTTGTAAACAGATAGATATGTTTGTGGATTACTTGTCTAAAGTGGGGCTTGATAATGACTCCAATACATTTTTCACATCGAATTTGAAGAGATTGACAATGAACTGGAGAGAAGCTAAAAATGTGCACGATTATGGGTTGTGGAGCATGAGGCATATGGAGACCTACATGGGCCAATGCATCAAGTTATGGGATTGCGGAGTGAAGAAAGAGGATGCAAAGCAACTAAGTGCATTGCGAGTGAAGTATTGTGCATCACTCATCACATCAGACGTCAATGAGATGAAGGACAAGAACTTGGATGAGGTCAAGGATTTTGGGAAGTTGAAAAATATTAAGAAGTAGATGTGAAGTTGGGATTAAACACTAGTTGGTGTGAATGCTTGAACTTTTATTTTGCGTGAGGCGTTTTTGTTGTTTTAAAAGGCGTGATGCCTTACACATTTGATTTTGTTGGTTACTAACACAATTGGTTTTATTTGGATTTAATTTCATTTGGATTTGACGTTATTGTTTGACTGGAATTACGATGTTATATGGTGTGATGAATGCAAATATCTACGAAGTGTGTTGATACGAGTGTAATGGAAATATGAAAGCATATACGGTTAGATCATGCACAATTTAGTTAAGACAATGCATATGTATACATATGCGTGTCATTGGTTTAAAAAATGCACTATTTTCTTAATACAATGAAGTGTTTGGCAGAAAACCTACATTATTTGATGAATAACATTCCATTTTAATTGATTAATTAATGTTCAGCTAAGTAAATTAGTCAAAGTGCAAAAAAATATTTATTCCAAAAAAAATGCAAAAAGTAATTTGAGATGTACTTAAAGTGAACTGTGATACGTATTGTGATATGGAATATAGAATCAACGATTGAGTAATTTAAACACTGCACAACTGGGTTTAAAAAAATGCACGATTTGGTAATAACAATGTAATAAATAATTTTAAAAATTTTGACGGAGTTAGAGGAAACAAATGGCCACAAAAACTAAACATAGTGAACATAAAGTATTAATAACAACTAAGAACATACTTCTCAATCTGTACTAATTTATAATATTACGTAATGCAAAACCAAAACAAAGACTCACAACAATCAATAAAAAATAATAATCATTCATACGAGTTCAAATGACAATTCCTATAAATGAATAAAAAAGAACGATCATTGCTACAAGCAACAAGGACAATTTGTAAAAATGAACACAAAAGAATAATCGTTCCTCCGAGTTCAAAGGACAATTCCTACTGTCATGATACCTTTTTTGCTTACATTTTCTACATAATCTCTTAGTCTTCTAGCTCACTTCAGCCTTCTCTTTGCCACCTTTGATCCTCTTACCACAACCCTTATTTCGAGCCTGCTGAGGTGGATGCACGCTAACTTGAGTAGGAATATGTGACCCATAAAAGCCTTTGATAACATCACTTTTTGAAGATGTTGCTGCACTACTTGGTTAAGAGCTAGACAATAATTCTTTTTGCACCTTAATGACATCTGAAAACTGCTGAAACAAATGAGATTGATGGTCAATCATTCCAACACAAAAATGAATATCAGACCACAATGTCTTCATAGCTAATGTTCGTTCTTCAGTGCCAACACACTCTTGAAAAACACCGTCTTCAAATGCATTAAGAGGCTTTAGAATCGAATTTTTTCACCATCGATGTAACACATATCTATTTGGAATTGCATTGACCTTCTGATCTTTCAACACAAAAAAAATGTGATGACACAATATGCCAATCCTTTCAAAATGTTTACAAGAGCAAAGTGTAGTACCGTCACTCGTATTGTGCATAACTGTGAAATTTAAACCTCGTTCATCTGATATGACATACGTAAAAACGCAACCTTCATGTTGGAGACTAAGAATTGCACAAGAAAAATAGGCGCAACATATTTCCTTCTCAATGAGATAAAGAATTGAATGATTATAAATAGAGGAAGCATATCTTTCAATATGTAACAGAGTCTTGTACTCGGAAATGGAGGACTCGGAAACTTTGGTCAATTGTGCACTCTTATGTCTTTGAGAATTCATTACACTCTCAAACTGCATATAAAACTCAACCAAACTGAAATTATGATTTGTGAATTCCTTGAAAAAATTATTTTCACTCTCAGAACGTGATGTAGTCCTAAGCAAACCCGCCATGAAAAGATCACCGAAATAAGCAGGAATGCACAGCCTCCTAATCTCAAACATGTGTGAGAATCAACTGTGATCAAGTAGGTCATATTCTTTCATTAAATTAGTCCATCTCATCTCAAATTCAGTTGGCTGCAAATAATGACTCCACATAATAGAATTCAATTCCTTCATAAAATTTGAATCTTTACTCAAAACCGGTCCAACTTTCGAACTCACCTTGGACATTATATGCCACATGCAAAATCTGTGACATGTTGCAGTGAAGACCTATGGAATAACAATTTTCATGGATGAGTTTTGATTTGTTATGATGCACCTAGGTTCCCGGCCTATTGCATTTAAAAAACAAAGAAACAACCAAGCATATGATTCCACATTCTCTTTCAACAACAAACCCACACCAAAAGTAATGCACCTTTTGTGATTATCAACGCCAGTGAAAGGGGCAAAAACCATGTTATACTTGCGGTGTGAAAGGAAAACTCAAAAGTGCATTGATTGATTTTACAAAGTGCACTACTTTTGATTATCAGTGCAAAGCATAAGAAAATAGAATTATAGCCTGAATAAAAATATACAAAAAAATGAAATTTATCAAGGGAATAATTAATTATAACAACAATACCTGTTTGTCTCATATGTAGCATAAAAAAACAACATCCCGGAATAAAGCATAGTTCTTTATGCACACTGGATCTGCCCAAAATATGTGTGTCAACCGGTCACTCTCATCAACATCATAGTCAAATGAAAAGGCTGAACAAATCTCTTTCTTTCTAAATAGCTTATTGATGGAGTATATGGCCCGGGAACCCCCGGCCCACAGACTCCTACTACTCCAATGAAGGCCCAATAGGCCCAGGAAGCACAACAGGCCCAAATCACGGCGCCCAAGGCACCAAGCAGCCCACCACGCGCACCAGCGGTGCCTTCGGCCCCCTGGCCGAAGGCTCTAATTCTCACAGGAGGGCTAAGACAGGAAAACAAAGGTGCTGGAAAAAACGGCGAAAGTCAGTAGCCCTCGGCAACTGGAGCCCTCGGCACTAAGGGGGTCCCCGGTACTCAGAGCCCTCGGCTAGTCATCTACAGCCGAGGGCACCTTTCCCGACATAATATCCGCTCCACATGCGTATGGATCACCGTACCCTGTACAACGTCTCATCCAACAGCCGCATTAAATGCGGCCACATGCGGTTGCCAGTGCCAACCGGTTGAGGTGACCTCTCGGCCAATGGACGCTTGACACGTGTCCCTGTCTGGCATTTATTGCTACTATAAATAGCACTCCATTTCCCCATTTGTAACCACGCTGAAAACACTGAACACTTTCTAATATACTTTCTCTCTATATACTTACTTGCTCTGACTTCTCTCTAGTTATTCTCCGTAATAACCCCTCGGATAAGCTACCCCCGGGTACACTATCCATCATTTGGTGCTCTCGTTGAGAGCTCAAACAATCAAGTAAGAAACCATCCCCCTCGACCAAACACAAAACACCCATCTAAAATGGGGAGAACAACTCGTGCCAACTCCAAGAATGTAGAGGACAGGAACCTGGCCCTCGGCGAGGTCGACGTCCCCGAAGCCTCCAACAGGGCTCCCGGGGGCGGCGTCATCGCCGGGTTGGACCAGACGGCTGTCGACCTACGCCAACAGATTCAACAAAATGCCCCCGATGCCATCGAGGCAAAAAAAAGGACCGGAGCAAGAATCAAATTAGCCCTCCGGTCATCACCATCGACGTACAATCGGCGCTCTCCGCCTTCATCCAGACGCTCACCCAGAACCCGGGTGCCTTCGGCACTTTGGTTCCCCTCCAACCTCAGGTGGGGGAGAATATTATGCCTCCCCCTCATCCACGATCCCTCGGTAACCCGGTCCTCCGGATGGGGAACTCCGAGGGTGTCGTTGCCCAAGATACGGCCTCCCAGGAAGTCCAGTCCCGGGACCGCCACAACGTGAACAAGGAACAACTTCGGACCTCCGCCCTCGAGAGACTCGGAGGGGCGCAAGACCGCCGAGGGGTCCAAGACCGCCTCGGGGGGGAGGCATTCCAAAGGCCTCGGGAAAGTGGCGGGTCCGTCTCCAGGGCCAATGAAAGGCGTCCCCCTCAGGACAAAGGCAAGGCACCTCTCCATGCCAACGACGCACGCCACCAGATCAACCAGGCCCACTCGGCCCGGGTCCATTCGCAGGGGGCGGAGGCTCTCCCGAGGGACCCCCGAGACGAAATCATTGTGGCTCTCCAGTGCCGGCTTGACGAGATGGAGGCCACCAAAGCCCACGCCACCACTTCTGCCCCTCATACAGACCTCAAGTATGAGGCGATGATGGCCAAGATGGAAGAAATGCAGAAGAAGATAGCCGAGGGCTCCGGGGAACCCACCATACAGCTCCGGACCCGGACGCCATTTACCCCAAGGGTATTGGCGGCCCAGATCCCGGAGAAATACCGAGGGCAGCTCATCAAGCCCTATGACGGAAAGATTGACCCCCAAGAGCACTACAGCAGGTATCAAAACAACATGATGATGATGGGGGCATCCGATGAATATTTGTGCCGCTGGTTCCTCTCCACCCTAGAGGGGCCAGCTTACGAATGGTTCAACCGATTGCCCGAGGGCTGCATTGACTCATGGCAAGAACTCGCCCAGCGATTCTTGACGCAATTTGCGGGGAGGCGCCGCACAAGAAAACACTTCTCCCACTTACTAACAGTGAGGCAGAAGAAGGAGGAGACCCTTCAGGACTTCCTGGAGCGCTGGAGGACGGAGGCTGATAAAGTTGATGGCGCTGACGACGGGACCCTCCTGGCACTCCTACAAACAGTACTCCGCCCCGGGAACTTCTCAAGGAGCCTCATCATCGAACCCCCCTGCGATTATATAAGGGCCCTACAGCGGGGGGACCGGTACGCCGAGGCCGAGGAGATGGAGAAATGCCACCATATCCCAGATCAGCAACGCCCTCGGCCAGACGACAAAGGTCACCGGGGGCCGGGGGCTCCCCGCAATCATCCCAAGGATTCTGCCCCCTCCGGTGATCGC